CAGGTAAGAACAGCCGCGGTGGCCCGACGGGGCGGTCCCAGAGCTGGGCGCGGACGGAGCGCCATGGCTCCAGCCACGTGTAGCTCCCGGGCTGGGCTTTCCCAGCTGCTCCTGCTCGGAGTCCGGGACCTAGTCTCAGTGTCCGCGCAGGGCCTGCCCGTCGACGGGGTAGACTTAGTTACCTGGCCTTTAGCCAAGCATTTCCGTGGGTGCTAAGTAGAGGCTGATGGGTGGTAATCCAGCACACGAGGGGCTCTCGGGGGGAGAGATTCGATTTCTAGGAGGCCTGAAGGGGGTGGAAGTACACACTTTCACCTTAATATGAAGGAGAACTTCCAAGTGGGCTCTCCAAGCTGAGAGGACTTCGTTTACCCATCCCTGGAGGCAGTGAAGCCCCGAGGGTGACCTGGCTGCTGGCAAGATGTAGAGAGGACTCAACACCTGGGGTGAGGAGGGTCCCTCTTGAAATCCAGGAATGGACATAGGAACTCGGGTTTCTGTCCCTGGCCATTGGCAGATGGGCAAACTATCGACTCATCTTTGTTTTCCCAAAGTCAGGGGGGAAAAGACTTTATTCTCTAAAGTAGCCCACAGTAGCTAAAACACTATTTGCTTAGGGACCAGGAAAAACGAAGCATGGCCAGTCTTCTCTTATTTTTAAAATATATTTTATTGATTTTTTTTACAGAGAGGAAGGGAGAGGGACGAAACATCGACCAACTGCCTCCTGTACACCCCCTACTGGGATGTAGAAAAAGACTTTATTCTCTAAAGTAGCCTACAGTAGCTAAAACACTGTTTGCTTAGGGACCAGGAAAAACGAAGCATGGCCAAAGTCTTCTTTTATTTTTAAAATATATTTTATTGATTTTTTTTTTAGAGAGGAAGGGAGAGGGACGAAACATCGACCAACTGCCTCCTGTACACCCCCTACTGGGATGTGCCCACAACCAAGGTACATGCCCCTGACCAGAATCGAACCTGGGACCCTTCAGTCCGCAGGCCGACACTCTATCCACTAAGCCAAACTGGCTAGGGTGGCCAAAGTCTTTTTTATAACTTAGGGTGTAGACCAGTGGTTCTCAACCTTCCTAATGCCGCAACCCTTTCATACAGTTCCTCATGTTGTGGTGACCCCCAATTTCATTGTTACAAATTGAACATAATTAAAACATAGTGATTAATCAAAAAACAATACGTAATTCTATATGTGTTTTCCGATGGTCTTAGGCGACCCCTGTGAAAGGGTCGTTCGACCCCCAAAGGGGTCGCGACCCACAGGTTAAGAACCGCTGGTGTAGACTAATCTAAAGCAACGGACCTTAAACCAGAGGGCTCACAAGATGGAAATCTGTTTCCTCCCAAGTAAGGGCAGGAGGCCGTCCAGGGACTAAAACACCTTCTGTCTTGTTGGTCCCCCACCCCTGGCGTCTTGCCTGAACCATGGTCAGTGCTCAATAGCCACATTCCAGCCCATAGAGGGAGGAAAAGAACACTGCTTCTTTAAGACGCATCACTTCCTCCCCATCCATTGGCTGAGAAATGTAGTCGTTGGCTGGGCAATCATGTGCTAAAAAGGGGAGAGTGATGCCCAGCAGCCAGTGACAGCTCTGCCAGTCACCTCCAGCTTCTTGAGTTTGCGGTCACTCGCCCCTGCTGGAGAGGGTTCACGGTAGCTTAGGCAGGTCCAGCAGTGCCCAGACTCTACCCACTCTACCCTCATTCACACCCTTTTGTCTAGAACTGCCCTGTGGCCATACAACCCTCACCTCATCAGCTTGCTCAACTTTTATCCTTCCTCCTTGCTTGAAACTCTCATTTCTACCATTAGGGACAAAAATCTTGATGGAACAAGTTCTCAACAAGGTGCATATGATTAATGCCTGAATATTGTAGCCTTCACAGGGAATATTTGAATTTTTAAAGACAAATAAATTAATCTCAAATGGCAAATTATAACAGGCAATGGGAGGTAAGTACAAAAAGTAACAGGTCCTTTCAATGAGCACTTACTGAGTGCCTACTGTGTTCAGGGGGCTGCACTTCTAATTCTCAGCACTTGTGTTTAAACATGTGACCCAGACCCTAGCTGGTTTGGCTCTGTGGATTGAGTGTTGGCCTGGGGTCTGTAGGGTCCCAGGTTTGATTCCGGTCAAGAGCACATGCTCTGGTTGCGGGCTTGATCCCCAGTGTGGGGTGTGCAGGAGGCAGCCGATCAATGATTCTCTCTTATCATTGATGTTTCTCTCTCTTTCTCTCACTCTTTTCCACTCTGAAATCAATAAAAATATATTTAAAATAAATACATAAGTAAACATGTGACCCATCACCACCACAGCCTTCTTCGGTCATGGTTCGGCCCTGTCCCCCAAGAACTGACCCATCCTGAAGGCAGGTGATTCTGGGGAAAGGAGCGCCCCTGTGCCCACAGGTCCTGCTGCCTTTCTCCCCTTCACCACCCAGCGCCTTCCTGGAATGCTCTGTCACGCCACGTCACTGCCTCTCCGAGCCTTCCAGAGGCGCAGGGGTGACTCACCTGCCTCTGAATAACTCCCTGGAGGATGTATATTCATTCCACAATCACAGCATCCAATCCCAGAGGAGAAACTCCTCTGGCAGCCAAGTCTCCTCCAGACGGGTGCTTAGCCACGTGACTGTAGTCGGAGCCCCATGTAAGGCATTTCCTGCCCACATTAGACCTAAGTGTTTTCCAGTTATCTCGGGTGAGATGCCGCCCTGAAAATCCCCAGGGCGGAGCCGCTAGATGGAGCTTGGCCACCTCTATGTCGTTACCTTCTGGAAGTCAGCAACCACTCGCATGCCCGCCGTTGCCCGCTGTGGGAATCCAGCTGGAGAAATAGAAAATCGCTCCACCCAGACCAGTCATGCTTCCTTGGTTTTCCCAGGTGTCGGAAGCTCCCTGGCCCCACGTGCCGTCTCTGAAGACCAGCTGTGAATATATGAGCGTTTACCACCAGCCTGCCGCCATGATGGAGGATGCTGATTCAGACGAATACGTCAATATCTACTGCCTGACTCACCCCTCCAGCTGTCCCCCTGGGCCCAGGCCTCTGCGCCAATGAGTCTGGTTTGTCTGCTGGTTTCCAACACCCGCTTCGTCTGCTTTTAGAGCCCCTCGTGACGTCCCACATCCCACCTTCCATCCTATCTCTGCCTCATTGCCCTGAGCATAGCTAGCTCAGTTCCCATGGCTCTTCTGCACACCTTTGCAAACCCCTGTGGCCTTCGGGTGGCTTCTGGCCATGCAGGGCATTTGTCCCGATGCCACCTGCTTCCCGTTCAAGCCCTGTAACAGGCTGTGGGATTTTCAGACTCTCTTTGACCACAGGGTTTTTGCTGCCTCAGCTCTAGACCATGTGGCATCGGGCTGGAGCACAGGCATAGCTGTTGCTTCTGGAACCCTTCCCAGGCCGGGGCCTCATACCAGTAGAAGATCCCTGGACTGTAACGTGAGGTCATGCCTCAGCCCTGTGAGCTAGGAAGGGGCCTGGTATGAAACGGCCCTGGCAACATCTTGCCCTGGTCTTAAGGGTGGCACTTACTAGTGAGCTTTACTCATCCTGTGTCCCATGACAGGGTAATTAATTTTGATGTGATGAAGGATTCTAAATTTTCAGAACCATATATAGTTCCCTGTGTCCCTAAATCTTCTTTAAGTCTCCCTTCCTTGATGCTCATAAGGATCCTAACCCTAGCATTTCCCCTCTTTTAAATATAGTTTTTGTCACTTCTAGAGGACTTAAAGGGAGAGATTGACAACAATGCAGTCATAGTAGGAGACTTTAACACGGCTGACGTCACTGGATAGATCTTCCAGACAAAAAATTAACAAAGGAAACAGTCACTCTAAAGGACACACAGGCCCTGACCGGTTTGGCTCAGTGGATAGAGCGTCGGCCTCCGGACTGAAGGGTCCTGGGTTGATTCCAGTCAAGGGCATGTACCTTGGTTGCAGGCACATCCCCAGTAGGGGGTGTGCAGGAGGCAGCTGATAGATGTTTCTCTCTCATCGATGTTTCTAACTCTCTATCCCTCTCCCTTCCTCTCTGTAAAAAAATCAATAAAATATATTTTTAAAAAAATAAAGGACACACAGGATCAAATGGATTTAATTGACTTTTATAGAACATTTCACCCCAAAGCTGCAGAATATACAGTCTTCTAAAAATCGTTTGTGTCACTTCCTTATCCTTCTTCCATTCTTATCCTAACATGACTCTATCTTAGCCATCCAAACCGTTACCTCTCTCTGCTTTCAGAAATGCACCTTATCTCTTGGCCAGTTCCAAGTGGTCCCAGCAAGGTGGGGAAGGAAAGTGGCCTGGGGTCGTGGAGGGCCATGGGCTCTGCAACAGCACTTCAGTCACGGAGGAAGACATCCCATCTCCTCCACGACTCTACCCTTAAGTCTTCTGTGCAAGGGCTTGGGCAGACATTGTATCTTTAGACTGATGTCAACTACAGAGACAAGCCAGAGCCTGAGACTAGAGAATGCCCAGTCTTGCCGTTGGGAAGAAGGTCTTTCCCAGACACGCAACTCAGCCTCACTGGGCCCTTGTCCAGAGTAGAAAGGAAAGGCTGCCAGACTTGAGTTCCCTGCCTTTTACTAGCAGGGAATTGCGTCACAGATCAAAGACTCCACCCAGCTACCATGACACCATCAGCAATGTCAGCTTGCCCCTGGCACCCTCTCCCGTGGCAGGTAAGAGAAGCATGAGTAGGATAAGAAAGGAGGGCACCCAAGGGTAACGGACGGTGCGAGTAGGGTGGGGAGTGTGGGCACAAAATGCAATGTTTCATGAGCTTGCTTTGTGTTGGGCACTTAACACATTGGATCTTTTCTCATTTACATTTCAAACTGGTGCCCCTCACCCCTTCCCCACGGCTCTGTTCCTGGAGATGTCAGGACAATGGGATAGTCATGCCCAAACATTCGACTGTATATCCCAGCATCCCTCATTGTTCCCCAACCATTCAAAACAGGCAAAAATATCCAGCTTATTAGGCCTTTACTGAGCACCATCACTGCCCCACATGGTTCCAAGGATCATGGAGGATAAAAGAGAAGCATGGGGCGTTGTCTCTGGTGTCTTCACAGATCTTAGTCAAACAAATAAATATATAACATAATATA